TAGTACAACGTGGACAAACTTGGAAGTTAACCAAGGTCACAAAAGTGGCCACACCTGATCTATGTCTTCTTGGTTACTTTCTCTGTCATTCCGTGACTTCATGGTTATTTCTCTAGTGAAAAACAAAGAAAAGCAATGGAAATCAAATTGCCATGTGGTCACATCAAATTTTCAGCAGCAACAGGAATGAGTACAGTGGACCAGGAGGATAGTCAGCAGCATACGTGCCTGCCTGGCAAGTGCAAGGTCCCGAGTTCCATTTCTGGTACCACAAAAAAAAAAAAAAAAAAAAGAAAAAAGAAAAAGAAAAAAAAAAAAAGGATGAGTACAGCCTATGTATTATCAGTGTCTTGTCACTGACCTGTCCCACCCAACATCTACACTTAAGGAAGAGAGGTTTTAAAAATGTGGCCCATAGTTTTAGGTGGTTTACTCCACAGTCAGCTGGTGGCAAGGCAGAAATATGAGAGAGGGGAACCAAGAGGAAGGCTGTTCCCCTCACAGTGGCTGGGAAGCAGAACAGGGACCAGCGCCAGACAGGAAGAGTCCCCAAGGTCACGCCTCTCCAGCCCCGTCCAGAAGCATGCATAACTGATCCTCTAGGTGGCTCCCAAGTCAATCAAGTTGACAATTAAACTTGCATCACATAAAGGCCTCTGAGATCTTCCATTGTCAGCTTTTACTAGTTGCAAAATACTGCTTTAGAAAATGCCTGAGATTGGGCCAGGGAGATGGCTCAGTAGAATATGCGCTTGCCTGGCAAGCACAAGGGCCTGAGTTCAATCCACGGTTCTGCCAAAAATAAAATAAAATATAAAATAAAATAAAATACCTGAGGTGAATAAGTCAGCTTTGTAGGGTCCCTTTTACATTAGCTGGCCTAGTGGACAACCACATAAGATGTCAGGTAAAGGTTTTGTGGAGGAGTCAACACTTCATACTCTGTCCTTGGTGGAAAAGTAGCCTGGTCTGGGGTCCCAACAACCAGGTGGCCACCAAGCCACCTGTGTGACTGTGGCTGCTACAGCAAAAGCTCTTGCCCCTAGCCTCAGAGAGAGACTTGAGAGAAATCAGGATACAGGGGATAGATTTATTTTGCTGTGTAACATTACATTATTATGAAATAGGAGAAAATGAAAGTAGAGACTAAACTATTAAATCATTTGCAATGTAGGCTATAGTCCAAATATATCCCAATGTATAATGTATTTGATTAATTTTGACAAATGTTAAATCCCTTCAAGTGCTCATTGTTTAATTCATATATATATATATATATATATATATATATATATATATATTATAGAGAGAGAGAGAGAGAGAGAGAGAGAGAGAGAGAGAGAGAGAGACAGAGAGAGAGACAGAGAGACAGAGAGAGACAGAGAGAGTCTTTTTGAGACTGGGGTCTCGCTATGCAGTTCCAGCTGACTTGAGCTCACTTTGTGGCCCAGGCCACTCTCAAATTCATAAGGATCCTTCTGCCTCAGCCCCCCGAGTGCTGGGATTACAAGCGTGTGCCACCATGCCCAGCTTAGAATATTTATTGAAGAAATTTATATCTGTTCTATCTACAAAATATGTTCTCAACAAAACATGGATCATAGTACATGGGGAACAAATCACAAATATTCTGGAAAAGATTTAGAGAAAAGCTATAGCTTCACAGAAAAAACTTATAGTTTTAACTAAAATTTAAAAACTATAATTTGGGTTCCTTTTTACAAATGGAAGATTTGCAATTTCACATCGTTGTGATAGTGATAGCAGAATTTTCTCAAATCTGGCACATCTTAATTGAGTTCAAATAAAGAGGCTGTTTCTTGCTCCCTCTTTATTTATTTATTATTTTTTTGGTGGAACCGGGGATTGAGCTCAGGCCCGTGCGTTTGCCAGGCAAGCGCTTATTCTACTGAGCCATCTCCCCGGCCCCCTTGCTCCCTCTTTAAAATCCACTCTTAAAAATGGCTTCCATATGGGCTTTAGACGAATGGTCTAGCATCTCTGAAGTATGCCTGCCAGAGCTGGTGTGCCGCGTATGGACATTTACCTAAGAACTGGTATGTTTGTTCTTCCCTCAAAGAACAAACTAAACCTCCACAGACAGGAAGCGTAGGTGGCAATCCAGTTATTAACTGTTCCAAGTGTGCTTATGATCGCAGCAGGCACAGAACTGTGCTCCACATACGGTATGCAGACAAAATCATGACCGGCCTAAGAAGCGCAGACTAACCTCAGCGTCTTGGAACTTGGGCAAACAGGCCACAGGCCTACGAGGGGGCAGAGGATGCCACGGGCCCGGGGCGTTCACCAGCTCCTAGCAAGACAGCTCCTGGGGGTGCGGCCAAGCTGAGAACCAAGGACTGAATTCCAAGCAAACTGTTTGACAAAGACCTCTTGGGGAAGAAAGGAAGCCTGAAAGCTTTTAAAGTAAAAATACCCCTCTTCATTTCTTTTTTCCAGGAGGCTTGGCGGTAGCTAAGTAGAGAGGGGCTAAGATTGTTTCATTTTGTTTGTATTAGGGATTGAACCCGGGGCCATCACACTGAGCTACACCCATAAATCCTCAGGTTCTTTCTTTCACAAGTTCTCAGTAAGTCACTAAATTGCCCAAGTTGGGCTTACATTTGCAATCTTCCTGCCTCAGCCTCCCACAGTGCTTGAGCCTTGTCTCCATAGTGACTCCGAAGTCTGACTAGAATAAACAAGTGTAGGAAGAAAGCCTCATAGCTCAGTGAGAGCTCAGGAATAACTTACTGCGTTAACATTTAACATCCAAGGAGAAAAAGAGGTGCAGGTGAGAAGAGGGAGAAATCGGTTAAGGGGAAGTTAATGTGCACTTTAGGCCCAAGGCAGGGTATAAGTATTAAAGCCCTTTGTTTGTTTTCAGTACCAGGAATCAAACCCAGGACCTTATGCCTGCCAGGCATGCACTGTGCCGCTGAGCTATGTCCCCAGCTCCTTCTTGAAAATGTATCTTCCTGATATACCTTTTGCAAATGGGAAGAGTATTTGGAAATGGAGAGAGGAGGGAGGGAGGGAGGGGTAGGTGGGTGAACAAAAAGATTTAAGACAGATTAAGTACTACACTTACTCCCTAAGATGAACTTAAACGCTACGTACTGCAAATCTGTACCAATAAGAATAAAACACATCATCTTTCTTCTTTTATGAAGTTCACATTATTGCATTACCCTTGGTAGAAAGCTGGAGGCGCCCTGCTATACCACAATTCTAAAAGCCATTTCTAGAGGGTCAATCAACATAATATGGTTCACGCATTCACAGAATACACAAGGCAACTACTTCATCTCGACTGCCATGTTGAATGCTATGGATACAAAAATGACCAAAGCAGATGGAATCCCTGGCTAGTCTAGTAGGTTTCCTGCTTTATGCCAAATCCGTGCAGGCCTCCTCAGGCCTCCTGTTACCTCCAAGTTGTCAGATCTTTCAAACTGAAATATCATACTTCACAGAAGACATTTGTCGGGTTTGTGGCTACTGAAAATATTTTGAATACTATCTCTGTATTTAAGGATTTCTCTCCCACAATATAATTCCTGTCTCAAGACAAAAACCAGAACTCAATTTCCCAGCCTTTCTCGGGGCTAGAGCGCAGCCGTTGCCTAGGTAACTGAAGCAGCTATGGAATTCACTGATGGAGAAGAGGGGGACCCAAGGAAATAAGCTTTAAGGAGAATTCATTCCCAGGTCAGGGCAAGAGTGCAAGAATCGAGCCTTGCACGCAGCATTCACAAGAGCTTGGGCAACCAGTGTAACCACGGCAGCATCTCGCGCAGCTGGCCACAGAATGGTTTGTTGCTGCCGTGTAGACTGTGAGCCTCTCTGGCTATCCCAGACATGTCAAGAACTACCTCAGATGCCCAACTGCTTAGCTTTTAAAATTAGTGAAAGTGAGTTCTGTTTTTCCAAATGAAACACATGGTGAACTAGGGTTTTGGCACACCTCCGTTACTTATGCCTTTCTTTGCTATTGTTGTTGATACACGGTCTTGCTACACAGCTCGGACTCATAGTGATCCTTCTGTCCCAGCTTCCCTAGTGCTGGGATTACAGGTATGTGCCACCACAGTTGGTTCCAGCTCCAGGGCCAGCATGGCATGGGGTACCAGGATAGAACTCAGGTCCTTGTGCTTGCCAGGCAGACCCTTAGACCACCGAGCTATCTCCAGCCCTGTTACTTTTTTTTTTTTTTTTAAATTTAAGGTGCACATTATTTAGCTGGTAAAAAACCAACCAACCAACCAAACAAACAAAAAAACGAACTTAGTTCATTCTATAAACATTTATTATAGGCCTACCTATCATGGACCAGTCGCTGGACTAGAACACTGAATAAAATATGTGCAGCTATAATAGAGTAGCATATTACACTATTTTATTTTATTTTATTTTATTTTATTTATTTTATTTATTTTATTTTATTTTATTTATTTTATTTTATTTATTTTATTTGCAAAACCAGTGATTGAACTCAGGCCCTTGCGCTTGCCAGGGAAGCGCTTATTCCACTGAGCCATCTCCCCGGCCCATATTATACTTTAAATGTGCCCATTAAAGGAACCCTGATCAGAGATCCCTCTAACCACCCCTCCCCAGCTGCATGGCATCATCAGCCATGCCCACAGCGTCCACTACTTCTACGCTTCCCCAGGCCTCCTCCTTGGACAATGCTTGCGTTCCCTAAGCCTTGTTCTGGGCAAGAAGCGCAGCCGCCCCCCCCCCCAACGGATATCCCCCCCACACACACACACACAAAGGACCCCCACAGCCTGGGCGAGGGGCTGGGACTGCTCCACAGGAAGCCTGTGCTGGGGAGCGCCCCCTTCCTTTCCCTAACACCAGGGCCAAAATAGAGGATGCCAGTGCAGCAGCTGTCTGGAGAGGATCTCCCGTCCACTAGGCATTTAAATATAGAAGACCCTAAAAATAGCCACCCCTGTTTTGGGCTCAACAGGTGATTGGCTCAAAAAGAGGGAAGAGAACTTAGGCCTTGGTGAAGGAGAGGGAAGGACAGGGGTTCCCAGCTCACCGTTCAGCAATGGCTCTGCCTCTGAGGTCCCTGAGTAGGGGCTTAGCCAGCACAGCCAAGGGAGACCACGGAGGGGCGGGAGGTGAGTGACTAACCTCCTGTGGCCTCCCCTCCTCCCCTCCTGCCGCCCCCTCCCCACCTCTTGGGGCGAGCCCAGAGGCCCCCTGCCCTTCACCTGCCCTCACCGGCCTGCCCTCCCACCAGCGCGCACCTGGCGCATCCTGACCTTCGTGCTGGCGCTCCCGAGCGTGGCCCTCTGCACCGTCAACTCCTGGCTCCACTCGGGCCACCACGAGCGCCCCGAATTCATCCCCTACCACCACCTGCGCATCCGCACCAAGGTATGAGGCCCCGGCCTGGCGTGGGAGGGATGCAGCGGGTGGGCAGGGTCTGGGGACCCCAGGCCAGACGCGGATGGATACTGAGGCCCCTTCTCGTCTCTCCGCAGCCCTACTGCTGGGGGGACGGCAACCACACTCTTTTCCACAATCCCCGCGTCAACCCTCTGCCCACGGGCTACGAAGACTGAGTCTCCCAGCCAGCCACCGCCAGCGAAATAAACAGGCGGAAGTCCTGGAAGCTCTGTGTCCTTGGGCTGTGGGTCAATGGCAAGGGGTGGGGTCAGGGTTCGAACAGTGGAAGCTACAGTCCTGCCTGTGGGGGGGTCTCTAATTCTAGATTTGGAACATTCCGAGGTTCTCACTGATGGCCTCTAATGGATCTTCTGTATTAGTTTGGAAATCAGAAAGTCCTTCCTGGAAACCTGTCCTGGCTTCAGGGATTCAAGAGTGACACAGGTTCAGATAAGTCGGACATTTCATTGCTTCGTAGGACAGGCTTTTCCTAGCCTGTGCTGAACCGAATACACACACACACACACACACACACACACCTCCCCTCTACACATGCTCGCCCCCCCCCCATGTCACTCATAACCATTAAGGAAAGATGGCCTCAGGCCCCAGGTCCCTGAGAAAGCACAAGGACCTGTCCTATACCTGCCGGAGGTTCCCCCAAGCATGCCTAGAACAGCGCCGAGGTCCCTGGGTTAGAGCTGCTTCATGCAAGGGAAACAGGGTATTGCATCCTCATTTCATGTGACCGCTTTTTTTACCATATGAAAATGTATACTGGCATCGTGCCTGCTCCTATAAAAAAAATCATCACAGAAGAAGTTTGACAGATTTATAAAAATATTTTTTTAAAAATCTTTCCACTCCTCCAGCGGGTGGCTCAGCACTAGGTAGGCTCCTCAGGCCGGTCCAGAACTGTGCAGAAGTCGTTCCGTGAAAGTAGAAGGACACAGAGACAAGGGCAGCTCGAGGTCTAGCTAAGCAGCAGTGTGGACGGTTAGAACCCAGGCACATCCGGGGCCTCATAGATGGCATCGTCCTTGCTCAGTGTGGCAGGGGCTTCAGATTGGCCCCCCAGCATTTCTTTGTACTGCCGTTTGAAAAAGCCAAGCTGGAAGAGGAAATAAAATTTCAACTCTGGGTCAGAGGGCAGGGAAGACAGCCGAAAGTAGGATGAAGTCGAGAGAGAAGAAGGCGCTAAGTAAGCTGATTTGTTAGCTGAACAGGCACGGGGACAGTAGCTGTCACACACTGACATCTAGGTTCTGTGCTTAGGCGGGTTTGCACCCTGGCCGAATTTCTTTTTCACTTCAGCCCATCTGTGGTGCAAGCCTTATTATCGTTACAAAAAAAGAGAAACACGGTGTGAGAGGCCAAGCACCCTGCCTAACAGTAAATGGTCCGTGGAGAAGCAGAGTGTGCGCAGCCCTGGTCGGAGTTCTCGCTCCTCTGTCCTAGCTGGGGAGGGCCGGGCTTGGATGTGGGTGGTGTTAGGAGCAGAAAAACGCGCTCACCTTGTACAGCGAGGCTGTGATGAGAGCCAGCAGCAGCAGCCCTCCCACGCTGCTGCCCACCACAAGGGGCACCGGGTCATAGAGCTCAAATTCCTCTAGCACTGTTTCCATCTGAACAAAAGATCAGAAGGCGCAAGTCTTCCGCTTCCTCAGACCCCTCCCAGGTTCCCGGGTTTCGGCTCCAGCCCCTCCCCCTCCCCCTTCCCCCCAGGTCCAAGTAGGGAAATGATGCCCAGGACCCTCCTCCATCCTCCCTCTGGGCCTGCAGATGCCCGGCCAACACACAGATGCAGCATCCGGGGCCTCTGACCAGCCTGGCCCCTGCCCACCACACCGTCCCTACCTGCGCTCTCAGAAATGCCTCCTGCCCGGGAAGCTGGGAATACGTGGATCTGTCGAATGTGATTTCAGCCACACTGACCACCAACACCTTCTTCTGCAGTGTCTGCAAAAGAGGAGGGGTCTAAGGGGCATGGGCTCCGGGGAAAGCTCAGGGTCTAGGAAATGTCCCAGCCTGAGGAAGGCACAGATCCATGGAGCACAAGAGGGAGCCAGGGGAGGGGCCTGCTGTTGGGCCACACACCTGGCTGACCCAGTGGAAGCTGAGGTTGCCCTTGAGGATGAAGTCGAGCTCCTCCTGGATGCCGAAGGAGGGGACATCACAGCGGAACCTGAGGCAGTCAGCGATGGAGCAGTCCTAGGGACAGGAACAGAAGGCAGTTGATTTGAGAAGGGTCTTTACTTAGGAAGGGACTATAGGAGCAGATAAGGGCTACTGAGTTTAGAGGTGGGGCTGCAGAGATAGCTGAGCAAGTACAGCATACTGCATAGCTTCATCGTCTAGCAATATATTTTCCTGTATCCCCCCATATGGGATGGTCCTACTTTGGGGGTTCAGGGCCTTTCTCACCAGCACAGAACTCCTTGTAATCTGGGCCAGGAAGTCGGAATGCTGGGGTGGTTCCCTTTGTGACACACAAGAGAGACTCTAGTGAGAGAGAGAAAAAGTTAGCCCCATAAATATCACATTTCCCTGAAAAAGGGTATGTGTGATACTGTGGGGACAGAAGAAAGGCAGGCCGGCACCTGGGAGGGGACCCTCAGCGTCACATCCCACACAGCCATGCCGTTCAGCAAGACAGGAACCCAGAAATTGATCCCGATGGCCAGATCTCGCTGGCTCAGGTTATTCACCTGCAGAAAGTTGAAAGCAAACACCATGGTTTCCCAGCCGCACTTCTCCCCTACCCATCGCTTTTAGGTATTCCCCGCCTTTCCCCACCAGTTTCCAACTCTATCCACACTGCAGGAGGACAGACACAAACGCTCCCTGGCTTCTCACACGATATCGGTGTTCAGCCTCTTTCTTGCTCTTCTCATCAGAAGTTGAAAAGTTGATGTACTTAGTGGATTCTTCCTGCCTGGAAAGAGAGAGCGTGCTGGTGCAGAACAGCCTCGAAGGTAACACCAGGCGTGCTCTAGGCTGCTGCGGGTGACCCAGGAAATGACTTTGGCCCCCACACACCTCCTCAGGGTCTGCTTTAGCCTTAGTTCTGCTCCCTGCAATATCCTTCGCCTCAGTCTGTCAGCTCCCTAATCCCCCCAAACTCCCTTAAGGCTCCTGCTCTTTCTTTCATACCCCAATGAATGTGCTCAGGCTGTTTCTTTGGCTGGCCTTGTTCTTACCTACTCCCCTTCTGGACATTTTTACTTTAAGGTCCAGTTTAAACATCACTACCTCTTGTAAGGCTTCCACATTATGGGGAAAGGTGTTCATGTGGCTTTCTGTGGTAGACACTTGGCTGGCCTGAGGCAGCGCTTGCGCAGGCCTCGGAGAGCCCTCAGGAGTGGCAGCCAGCGGGGTAAGAGCTCCAGTGAAGACAACAGATGTGGGTGTCTTGGGGCAGGTAGGTGAATGTGAAGGAAGATGGTGTCTGAACTCAAGGCCACAGAAGGGACATCAGTACCTCAGGCTGCAGGAGGTTTTGTATCCACCCACCCACCCATCCATCCATCCATGGCTTTTTTCAGTAAATATTTGCCACAGACCCAGCCTTGGAGATTCAACAGTTGAGCCATAATTCTGGCTTCTCAGGCTGGTGAGATAGCTCAACAGACTAAGTTCCTGCTTAGGTAAGTGCAGGGACCGGGGTTCGAACCCCCGTACCACATGCCACTCTGGCCCCACCCTGGACATGCTGAGCCTGCCACTGAGACCAAGTGTGGTGGGGCACGCCTGTAATCCCAGCGCCGGGGAGACTGAAAACAAGAGGATCGCTAGGAGTCCAAGCTGCGTAGTGAGACCCTCTACCAAATACATAAAATTTTTTTTTAAATTTTTAAAAATCCTTGCTTCTCAAAGTTTAATGTCTAAGGTCTCTGTAGAATCAGTCACACAAGGTGGACTGCACTTTTCACCAGTATCCAGCCCAGAGAACCCCAAGTGGCCACACCAGCTCGGAGGGCCACAGCAGGGGAGCCCTGCCCCTCACAGGGTCTTTGTAGGGCACATCGATTGGGACTTACTTGGCAGATGACAGGAGCAAGTGATTTAAGCTCTTGATTTATTTTTTTGTTGGTAAAAATGAAGCTAACAATATAGTTATTGGGAGAACTAAATGGATGTAAATATGTGTAAAATACTTAATACCAAAACTCACAATAACAACAACAACAAAATATTGTGACATCTAAGTATATACAGCTGTCAGTTCTTATTGTAAGTATTTTCCCATGGATAGAAGGAGACATGCACACAGAGTCTCCAGACCATATCATTGTCCTGAGCGGACAGTGGCACTGTTTGATTCCCTGGCCCTGGCTCCCCCATAATTCAGCAGCAACAGCAGCAGACTAGCCTCAGTGCAGTACCCCCCTGGGTGGCATCCCTCCGAGCACCTCCCGCCCGGCTGCACCTGCTGCCCTGCCACCTTGGGAGCCCGCTGCTGCAGCTCTCTCGCCTCCCCTGTGGTCCTGCCTCTCCCTCGGGCTTTTCGAGTCCCCCTCCCCCAACAGCTTCTCACACTTCTGCTCTCCTCGGAGCATTTCTGAAACCTGACCTTTATTTTTGAGCCGTGTAAAAACCTGACCTTCCCTTTCCTGTGTATGGTGGCTGACCATATCCTGTTGAGCACAAACCTCCCAATTCAGCGTGCTCAGAAAGACCCTGATCTCAACCTCGTACCTTCACTTCAGCACATTCATGTTTAGGGCAAAGGAAAGAATTGGCTAATGGTAAAGGAAGCCTGAATTTTGGAGGAAGAGGACGAGGTGTGTGTGAATGGCAGACCTGCTCAGAGAAGAAGAAAGAATTATATGGGCCTTTTTATCATGGTTGGCGCTGATGGCTGGCCACCCATGCAGGCATTCCCATGGGAGGAATCAAAGGGGACAGCTTGGTTGCTCTACAGTTTGAATATGGTTTTCGTCTGCCCCCAAGGGTTGGTGTCTTGGGAACGCTGTCCTCAGGGCAGCAATGCTGAGGGATGGCAGGACCTTGTGAGTGATTTCAAGACTGGCCCACGCCCCGCACTGCTTTCACATCCACCTTGGACTCTCGCCCTCTGCTACACATTCCTGCCATTGCGGCACCACCTGCTCTAGGGCAGTGTAGACAGGGCCCCTCACCAGGCCTGCCGCTCTGCTCTTGGACTGCTAGCCTCCGAAGTTGTGAGCTAAATAAACTTCTTTTCTTTATAAGCACCCAACCTTAGGCAGTTCATTATAGTAAAGCAGATTAACACAGATGCCTAGAGTCAAGAGCAAGCCGAGTCAAAGCACGAAGCACAAGACCTGGAAGAAGGTCGGAGGAGGAGGAGGGGCCAGGGATGGGCACCTGCTGATCACTGTATACACCGTGTACTTCACCGGGAGTTCCAGCTGGAAGGTCGTCTTGCTGGTTGCAGGCTTGTTGTTCTCACTGGAGAAAGAAAGGGGAACACAGTGCAGGAGGGACTTAGGAGGAGAGGGGTCTTCAGCTAGGGCACGACTCGGGGGGATGGGTCACACACCGTAGCTAGCCGGGGCTCACCTGCTTGCGTTGGCTCTCATTAGCAACCTGTCTCCCAGGGTAGCCTTGTAGGAGACATCAAATGTGACAGTAAAGGTGACCTAAAAAGGAAGAAGGAAATGGGGTGGGAAAGGAATGGAAAGAAAGGGAAAACCTAGGAGAGCGCAGGAAGGGAAGGGAGAGGACAAGGGAGAACAAGGAGCAGATCTGTGGAGAAGCGTTGACCTTGGCGCCCTCCTGGAAGATGGGGTGGTTGATGCTGCAGCTGCTGCTCCTCGAGCCCTCTTTCTCGGTGGATTCTGCCTCACATGCCACATGCTGTGAGCGCTGACGTGGCTGCCTCTAGGGAGAGAGAATGAGACTGAGGAAGTTACATGCAGATATTGGCCTGAGCTGTAACAGTGCTGGCACTGCAGCACAATAAGGGGAAAGGACAGACTTTTTGACACACAGCGCTGGGAAATTTGGCCCATACAACATGCGATGGGGGGAGGAGCTGATCCCTACCTCAATACGTATATTAAAATAAATTCCAACTGGATTAAAGACTTACAAGGTGAAAAAGCAAAAATTAAAAAGCTTTCAGAAGATAATATACACAACTTTTTTATAACTTCAGGTTAGGGAAGTAGCTCTTAAACAAGATGCCTGCAGAAACACTATGTACGAAAGGAAAGATGATAAAATCAACCACAATAAAAAGATACTCTGCATATTGAAAAGCATTGTAAGGAAACTGAGAAGATAAAGGAAGTGAGAGATGTTTGGATACACCTAACTGGAGCATGAGTAACCAGAAGGGAGGAAGATTCTTACTAATCAATGAGAAAAAAAAAAAATAGAGCCAACTCAATGGAACAGTAGGAAAAAAATGTGGACAGGTACAAAAGAAGAAACAAATGATTGGGGAGTATGTGTAAAGTTTCTCAACCTTCGTCATTAGAGTCATACAAAGTGCAACTGGAGGGAAATGCTGTCACCCACTAGGCTGACAACAACTAAAACATCTGACAGGAGAATGCCGTAGTTTCTCTTATCTGAGAAACCCAACACATAAATAGACAACAAAAGAAAAAAATAGATAATAGGAAATAGAAAGATCTTAGAGATCGTGGTATGGTGGAAAAGGGAAGGAAGAGGAAGAAAGGGGGATTAAAAAAGAATTAAGATGTATGGTGTCCATGTACCAACTCCCCCCAAGCATTATGTACTGTAAATGTGTACTCGTAAATTTTGTTTTTAAATCTGACAATGCCAAGTATTGAAGTAGATAGAAAATCATAAGGCCTCTCATACACTGTAAATAGGTGATAATACTACCAAAAAAGGTTTATTTTTTCTTGTTAAAATTGAAGATATACATAGCCAAGGCCTCAGCAACTCCATGTGCAATATATGCCTTCCAAAATATTATATTTGGGTGCACTGGACACGTACTCCAGAACAACCATGGCCCAAATCAGGAAATGACTCAAATATCCATCAATGTTAGAATAGATTTCTATTCTATTTCCATTTGTATTCTAAATTTGTGCTTCACTCATACAAAGAGGTTCTATGTAACAATGAAAATGTCCTACAGCCACACAAACCCACAGATAGTAAAGGAAAGAAGCAGGCTCTACACATGAACACACAATGTGCTTCCATCCATGTGACACTGAAATGTCAGCAAAACTGGACAGCATGATCTAAGGACTCACTCATGAGGGGTAGTAAACCTATGAAAAAATACAAGGAAATGGTGATCACAGTGATTACCTTTGGGAAAGGGTCAGATTGTGATAGGGAAAGATACTGGGTGAGGAAGTTTTGGGGATGCCAGTGGTTATAACGTGGCCCCAATGTAACTGCATGAAGATTTACTTAATATTAGTTATTAAACGATACACAGATTTAATGTACTGTGTGTGTATGAGATCATAAAGAAAAGAATGAAAAAGAGCCTACTGTAACCCTAGAAGTTGTAGAATGGGTGAGGCCTGCATTGGTTTAGACATAAACTGAATGCGCAGTGAGGCTTCATGCCTTGAAATTAATCCCTGTTGGGAAATTTAGAGTCCATTATGACAGGGAAGAAACTTAATCTGATTATGGTGTTGAGAGGTGGGGCTTTGGGAAAGTATTTCAGATTAGATGGGGTCATTGTCTCACAGCTGACTTCTAGCACCTTCATAGAAAATGGGAGAAATGCTAGACACATGTGATGCCACACACCACACTAGGACTCTGCCTGCAAGGATGCGACCACCAGATGTGGCCACTTTAACCTGCTGAATAGTGAGCCAAAATAAACCTTCTGTCTTTATAACTCAACCAGCCTAGGGTAGTTTGTTACAACAGAAAATTGCCTAATATAAGACCACAGCCCAAGAGACTATTTACCTGTACTCCTGATACCCGTCGATAGGACAGCCCCACTGGATAATAGAAGTTGACCACAGTTCCATAGGAATCTTCACCCTCATTCCACACAGTCACTGTCACACTGAGCTCCAAGGTACTCCCCACCATCAGGGTATGCAGGCTGAAGGGGAAGGACAAAGCTGGGACTCTGACTCCATTGGGATTGGTTGGAAAGGGATCAGGAATGGGATCAAAAGCATTTTTGTTTTTAAAAAAGGCAGCTAAAGGAAAACCCAGGAAGGACCTCTCGTCTTACGAGGACAGGAGACGCAGAAGCCTGAGAGTCAGATAGGACACAGATCTCACCCTGAGAAGCTGAAGCTGACACTCAGGTCCCCTTCACAGAGTTGGTCTTGCCCACAGTTCTTCTCAAATGGGAGCTGCAGTAAGACAGTAAATGCCCTTCGCAGCCAACTGCAGTCCTCTCGCTCGGAGCACTTAGCAGCCGGCACTACAACGCTGCTAGACGCTGGCAAGGAGCCGGGTAGGTGTTAGTGATTGGAATATATAGAAAGAGAAGATATTTTGCTCTCAGGAGGAAAGTGTGGTTGAGTCAGATGCAATTAATACTGGAACAATTATTCAATAAACATTACGTGGCAGTGATGTGACAGGTTTTGGCTTAGGTGGCAGTTTGGGGAAAGTGGGAACTACAGGTGAATTAGATAGTGTTTGTGCTTTAGGAACCTACAACCCCAACACACCAAAGGTTGTGGCGATATTTGGGGTGTGAGGATCATGGCGTCAGTGGGTGCCAGGGAAAAAGCAGCTGTGATGAGTGGTTTGCAAACAGAGGGTGACGAGGTTGGCAGTTAGGGGCCTAGGAAAGATCCTTCAGATGGGAAGGAGGAGGGACTGCTTCTCAGTTGAGAAATGCCATAAAGGCTCTCAAGCAGGAATGAAGAAAGCTGGGAACGGTCTGCAGAGAGGTCATGTTGGGGCGGCGTGGATAGCCTGCGGGGTGTGTGCAGAGACGCAAACGAGGCGGGGCTCCATGGCCGGCTGAGACATGCCGAGTTGGTGTGGCTGGCGGGCACCGTGAACGCCCTCACATCCCTGAGATCCCACTGGAAAACTCACAGAAGCGGTGAAGAGGTTTTGAGAGCCCATAGCCAGCACAGGGCGGAGGCTCCAGGCTAAAATGGAGTCCCTCGGCAAGGAGAAGTTGAGGCGCAGGATGATGGGGCTCACCACATCCTCTATGCAGCCCTAAGGGAGAATAGGTGTCAAAAGCCACTATTGTTCTCCTCACTATTTTTCACCACAGGGGCATCCCCTCTGCTGCACGCAGACAGTAGCCATCCAAACTGCCTGCGCCTCAGCATCCCTGCTCCAGCCTCAGAATCCCCACCCTTCCCACCTCACAGAGCAAATAGATGCCATGATCCTCCAAGCTAACCTGGGGCTCCTCCTCCCGCCCCCACTTTCCCAAAGTCCTCACTGGCAAAAGCAGCTTCTCGGTTTCACAGTGATCCCCAAGCCCCAGGGTTTTCCTTCGAGTCAAAGTCCAGTTCTTGGTCTCATAAAAAACAGCACGAGAAATCCGACGGCCCGGGTCCAAGGTCAGATCATAACGAACAGAACTCTGGAAATCACCTGAAGTGGAAGCAGGAATCAGAAAAGGGACAGGAAAAAGATCTTGCAATGTTCTGTATTCATGCAATACATATTTGCTGGCCACATTCTGTGGGCCAAGAGTGCTTGGGACACATGAGAGAGGATAGATGTGGCTTCTGCTCTCAGTGTCTAGGAAAGGAGCTGAGCATTTAGCTGTGATGTCAAGTGCGTGGCACGAGGGTGGAATCTTGAGCTCAAACGTAGCCAAGGAAGCTGTCTGAATGGGCTGTGTCTAAGCTCTGACCTAGAGGATGAAGAGGAGCTGGATAAAGCAAAGGAGAACATTCTAGAGAGTGGGAACAGGGCTGAGACCTCAAGGGAGGGCAAGACTGCCACATCTGCAAAAAGTCGCTGAGCGGAGGATTTATGTCTCTATCAATGTGAAGGGGAGCAGTTTAGGGGTGCTCAGGGGTGGGGATGAGGAGCCAAGACCTGTATTTTAGGATCAATCAAGGCTGGTTGCTCTGTGGAGAGGGGTAGGACGCTCACCTAACTGGTCAAGGGAGTCTTTACGAAGAGTGAGGCAGACCACGGCCTCCAGAGCCTCCAGAGCCTCCAGAGCCTCCAGAGCGGGGGGCGCCTCCTCCCAGCAGTGGTGCAAGGCTCGTGGCACCTCCACGGGGGTGAATCTCATGGACACTTCCACTTTCAGCACGGGCAGAGTCCTGAGAGGCAGAGCAGAGGCAGAGGATCGGACACTCGGCCTCGGAAGGAGAAAAATGAGGCAGACGTAGGGCAGGCAAGGGCGGGATGCAGGGAATTCGTCACCTGAGCAGCAGCACCTTCCCTTGCGCCCCGACAGCCAGGTCCACAAGTCCATCCTGGGTGAGGTCCTGGCCCCCGCTCAGGGACTGCCCGAAGTGCTGGAGGCTGGGGGAGAGCTGGGAACCGGCGATCCGCTGGCCAGAGGGGGACAGGGAAAGGAGAAGCCAAGAGGAGCTGGGTGCCAGCAGTGAAGCAGATCGAACGCAGAAACGTAAAGGAGAGGAGAAAAGGCAGGGGGTGAAAGCAGGTAGCTCGGGGGCCTCAGGGAGCCCAAGACAGAGAGAAGGGAGCCCTTACCTCTTCATCAGAAAGGAGAAGCATAATGAGAGCACAACAGCAAGCAGAAAGACCAAAACAGCACTCAGGACTTGGAGACAGATTTATTTACATCGCTGGGCACTGATCAGGGTCATCCGAGCATATCAGGCCTGATCTCTGGTGGTCTAGGGTTTTCATATAATGCACAAGCAAGAGGTGTAGAGATCTGTGTCACTCAGTGGTCCCCAGAAGAAAATGGGGAGAGGCTTCAGAAAATAAAGACAAGAGGGCCTGCCAGATAGCTCAGCAGATTAAAGCGCCTGCTTAGGCAGTCGCAGGGCGTGAGGGTTCAATCCCTGGCCTGCAGTGATGGCCCCGCCCCCGGGGGGTGCTGTGACAGCAAATGAGACTGGGCATGGTGGCATGAGGCTATAATCCCAGCACTTGGGCCTTTAATCCCAGCACTTGGGAGGCTAAAAAACAGGAAAGATCACTACAAGTCCGTTCTGTGTAGTGAGACCCTGTATACCTGTTCTAAATACATTAAAAAAGAAAAAAAGACAAGAGAAAATAGCGAGGTCAGGTGTCTGGTAGGCAAAGGACCCCTAAACAACAGTAAGGTGCTTGTTTATGCCTTTGCAAAGTTACAAGACACAAGGTCTCCTAGCAACTAATAGCCCACAAAGTCCAGGCGGGGTGCTTTTCTCAGTACTGGGGGAGCTTGACTGCTGTTGGCAGCGAGGCCTCCTCCTGCCCTCCCATGTGGCATCAACGTCCAGCTTCAGTGGCTCCCAACAAGGAGGTGCAAAGGAGGTACAAAGGCGGTGCAGCACAGGCTGGAAGTCCTTCTGATGAGCTAGCAGGGTGGGCTCTTTGGTCACAAGGGTAGACTAATGGCCATCAGCTCATGCAGCTCGGCCCAATGGCTTGATCCAGGCACTCTGTATGCTCATTTATGACCTCATGGCTACAGGGGTCAAGAAATTATGAAGTCATGAAGCACTGATAGAGCTAGGCAGTTTTGAAAGAACAAAGTTCCTTTTTTTCTTTTTTGGTATTTAGGACAGGGTCTGCAGGGTCTACAGGGTCTCACTACTAGATCAGACTTGTAGTGATCCTGTTTACAGCCTCCCAAGTACTGGGATTAAAGGGGTGTTCCACCACACCCTCAGGGCAGGGCCGGCGTGACAGGGCAGGGATCCAACATGACAGGCCAGGGATTGAACGCCCGGCCCCTGTGTCTGCCTGGGCAGAAGCTTCAATCCACTTAGCTATTTAGTGGGCCCTCAAAGTTTCAAAAAGAACAATTTCTCTTGTACAGTTTTTTTCCTTTCAATAGGAATACAAGAGCGTCACTTATTCATCACCTATTGTGTTCCTTCATAAACTGTTTAAATTCTTAAATCTTTGATGAACAGAATGTTCAGTGTGCTCACTGGTTATCCTTGCAAAAAGCCTATGGAGCGCCAGCAAGATAGCTCAGCAGTGTAACACACCTGCTTAGGCAAGCTTAGGCAGGCACAGGGGACCGTGGTTCAATCCCCGGCACCATATGCCACACCAGCCCTGTCCTTAGGGCAGGCTGAGCCCACCCCCCCAAAAAAAAAGCTTATGGACTTGGTTTTACAGGTGGCTTGATCATTTTATTATTATTATGGGGGGGGCAGAACCAGGGATTGAACTCAGGCCCTTGTGCTTGTTAGGGAAGCACTCATTCCACTGAGCCATCTCCCTGGCCCCCAATTTGATCATTTTAATGTCTCATAGAAAGGACAGAGAGACTAAGTCAGGAACTGGCCTAAGGCCACACGGCAAAGCACAGCTGGCAAGACCCAGGATTTGATCTGGGTCTGTCCTTAAAGCCTGGTCTCTTGTCCCTCAAGCTGTCCACACAGACTGAAGGCTCTCGGGAAGCAAGGAGGAGATGGCTGGTGCTTAACTGAGCCTGGTGAAATTCCAGGTAAGAAACCACTGGAAGAAGGAAGGCAGTGGAAAGTTCCACGGCCAGTGACAAGAAGCTGCGCTCAGGGGACACAAAACACAGGAGAAGGAACTAAACGAGGCTGAGCAAAGGAGCCTCACCTGGCTGTGGGCCTGGCTCATGCCCCCTCTAGAGACTCCATGAAACATGTAAACAGCGCCCTGGTTCTCCTGCTCTCCAGGGGCCCCGATGGCCACATCTGTCAGCTGGTCCCCACTCACGTCCCCCAGCACCGTCATGGCTGCCCCAAAGCGGCCCCAGGGGTGGCCCTGCTCGCCCTGGAGAACAGCTTCACACCGCCACGGAGCCCTCTGCTAAACAAAAAATGTCAGGCCCCAAGACAAGGACACCTTCCATCCACACCAAGAGCCCACGAGCCAGGTCCCAGCAGCCACTCACCCCCTTAGGCAGGGGACACACGGACACCCGGCCCCCCCGGGTCGGCTCGTAGTAATGGGGGGCCCCAATGAGGACCAGGTCAGTGCTGCCATCTCTGTCCACATCCACAGAGCAGAGGGAGGCCCCGAAGTAGGAGCCGATCTAGGGTAGAGGCACAAGTCATCCTGGCTCCCCTGCCAGGTGCACCAGCACTGTCATCTCTCCTGAGACACCAAGACCTGCCCCAAGGCCCCTCCCCTCTCGCTCCCTGCCCCTGGCCACCCCGCCCACCCTCGCAGGCCACTCTGGCTCTCTCCACACCAACCTGGGTCCCTCTGACCTCGGCTTGTGGCCTCCATCGCCCGGAAACCTGGATGAAGATGCTGACCTTCCCGGTGTGCTGATGGCGAGGAGCCCCCAGGACCAGGCTCTGCGCCCCCTTCCAAAGGGCCAGCTCTGTGGCGTAACCTTGGGTAGGGGGTGCGGGCTCAGCATGGATCCTTCCGCACTGCAGCAGGGTGCCCCTTGCTGGCCTGCCTGCGCCCCTACCCCTCTCACCCAGGTAAGAGTCCCTCGCGTCCACATGCTCCCTAGACGTGTTGATGAAGATGGGGTTCCCATTTGGGGGATACAAGAAGGCGCCTCCAGACCAGCCGAAGCTTCCCACTGCCCCCAGAACTGGACCTTCCTGAGAGGAAAGGATTCCAAGGCTGAGCAGGCGGGAGCCCGGAGAGGCCCAACCCAGAGAAATACGTGTGCCAACTCCTCTCATCATTTTGATTTTTCTTCTTACCCCAACTCCTCACCAGTGGCCTCCGTGTCCCTGCTTCTAGGGTCCCTTAGTCCGCTGTCACCACCACCATCCCGGCCAGCCCCAGCACTGCCTTTCCGCCCCCATCTTGTCTCTGCCCGCTCTGCCTGCTCCCCTCCGGCATGTTTCCCCCGCATCCCTTGGCCTGCCGGAAAGCATCACTAACCCCCCGGATGGCACAGGACTGACCCAGTGCCCCCCGTCCTGGAACATACCGAGGCTTTTCTTGCCCCCCTCTCTTCCCTTCCCTTCACCTCTCTCTCTCTCTCTCTCTCTCTCTCTCTCTCTCTCTCTCTCTCTCTCTCAATCGACCTTAAAAGCTCAACACCCTCAAATACTTCTTTTCTGCTCTGCACACTTTGTTGTCTTTTAAACCTTTCCATTATGGAGAATTTAGAACACATGTACACGTAGAAAGAAATGTCTGGCTTTAGTGATCAGTTCAAGGACTGACTCATTTCTACGGCTGCTCACTCAGCCCAATTCGAAGCAAATCCTTCTGGGCACTTTATTTATTTATTTATTTGTTTATGCATTTTAGTACAGGGTATCACTCTGTAGATCGGATTCACAGTGATTCTCCTGTTTTCAGCCTCCCAAGCGCTGGGATTACTGGCGCGGGCCACCCCACCCAGTCTCAATTGCCCTCGTCGGGCGCCCTGGAGGCGGGGCCAGCACAGCACACAGGGGTTCGAAACTCAGCCTGCGCCGGCCTAGGGGAGCTCTGTCTAAGCAGGCACTTTAGTCTGCTGAGCTATCTGGCCAGCCCCCTCTGGGGGATTTAAATACCATCCGAGGGGCTGGAGAGATGGCTCAGTGGTCTAAAGCACCTACTTAGAACAAGCTTACCTAAAAGCATCAGGGACCGCGGTTCAATCCCCCAGCACCACATGCCAGCCAGCCCCGCCCCCTGGTGGGCTGAGCTGGCCACACACACACATACCACACTCTCTCTCTCTCTCTCTCTCAAATAAAAAAAAAATTTTTTTTTAAAATAAATAAATAAATACCATCCGAATAAGCCCCGCTGCACTGGCTTCTCCCTGGTCACGTGATCTGCCCTTGCCCACCTCGCCAGCCCCCTCCTTCCTGCCTGCCCCTTTCCAGCTGTGCGAGGTGCTGTTCGTGCACAATCTGTCCTTGGAGTGTAGTCAGGGCTCTGCAGCCAGAACACAGATGGTTCTGCTGGTGGCACCCAGGAAGCCCCAGAGCGCTCTCTGCCCGTCCTCTCATTTCTCTAGGAGTCCCTTGTGCCTGCCTCCTGGGCCTTTGCACCTGCCCCTCCCTCTCCCTACAGCGATCTTCCCCCAGACTTCCCCAGGCTTGTCCCTTTCATTTTCTCCGACCATTTTACTCCCTTAACCCCAGCACTTAGCACAGCCAGAAGTCTTCCTCGTGATCTCCGCCCACCCCACAGAGCTGGAGCTTCCGCCAGCCGCCAGCCGCCCCCCGCGGAGCTCCCCAACGCCACTCACTGCACAGCCTGGTGCCTGGCCTTGTTCAGTGAGCGAACTTGGGGCACAAGCTGCATCTGGGTTCCTTCTGGAGCCCGGCGGTCAGCCCACTGGCTGCGAATTGCTACCTGACACCTGTGTGTCCACCCACCGTGGTGAGCACCGCGCTGAAGCCTTCCTGGGCCATCTCATGCTGAAAGAAGCTACTGGTCTTTGACTGGGTTCCTGTGGGGAAACAGGTCACTTAGGTTCTCCGGAACTGCGAGACCCCACAGACTCATCAAAGAGAGAAGAGAACCCAAGCTGGGGCACAGGTTCTCAGGAGCAATATGGGGTGCATTGGGATGAGCCATCAAGATTTTAGAGGGCAGCTGGGCAGGGACTCCCTGAGTTCCGCGGCCCCAGCTTGCTCCCGGATACCTTCTACCGCAAAGATCTTCTCCTGAAGCTTTTTCTGGATTCTGCTGAGGGCTGCAAAGTTGTCCACCTTGAACACATGGTCCTGCGGGGGCACTGAGCCAATCGTGTTCAGCTCCTGCCTGGCCGTGGGCTCCTGGAAAGCGTCTCCCACCTACAGCAGAAAGCAGCTGGCAGAGGGAAGCCCAGCAGCCCTTCACGGGGCTGCAGTGCAGGCCAAGTGGGGGGAACGATGAACGCAAGGTCCTACCCCGATGGCGTAGCGGGTAAGCCCAGCTTTCTCTGCCTGGGGGATGACCTCGCTGTAGCTCAGGGGGTCTCTGTACTTCTGCCCATCTGTGATGACGATGAGTATTTTCTTGGCACTTTCGCGGGCCCCATTATTGCTATGAAATAGCTCATTCCTGTGGACGGATAAAGGGAAATAACTGTGGTACGCCTGACTCTGGGGCGGCATCTGCTGCCCTCGCAGCTCATCTGACAGCTTGGGAAATCTTGATTCCAGGGCGTGCCAGGTTCCATCAGGCGCATTAAGGAAACCATTCAGTTCTTTCTGAAGCTCACATTGGCAGTAATTAGTAAGGCCAATAACAAATAGGTGCTCATTTTCTGACTATTCTGCCTACTATTAAATGCTGCTCCTAGGAGGTTCAAAGCAGAAGCTCTGGGGTTAGACAGAGACTTGGAGTAAGTTATTTAACCTGTTTGAGCCTTTGATTCCATCTATGCATGGTTTTTTTTTTTTTTTTTTTTTTTTTTTTTTTCAGAAACGGGGATTGAACTCAGGCCCTTGCGCTTGCCAGGCAAGCACTTATTCTGTTGAGCCATCTCCCTGGCCCCATCTATGCATGATTGCCCCATAAATAATCTGTACAAAAATGGTGCCCGATGAACCTGAGCTGGTTGTCCTCCCACAGTAGACCTGGCCTGGTCAGCGACTTACTTTTCAAGCAGTAAGCAGTGGAAGCGACACTGTGCCAGTTGTGGGTCTAGACAGCCTCAGTAGCTTTTGCTTTTGCACTTTTGGAAGCCCAGAGCTGCAGTGAGAAGAATCCGGCTGGCTTGTGGGAGGGACCAGGGGGCGGCCACAAGGAAAGAGGCCACGTGGAGAGACGGGCCAGGCCCGGGCAGCCAGCCCGTCCTTCCTGGTCATCAGACAACTGAGCGGAACTCTCAGTATTCTAGCCTCAGATTTCTGAGTACAACCCATGACAGACTGTGCAAAGGTAGCAGAATCCCTCACCCTGGGACTGTGAAAAGTAAGACAAGTTGCTGGTTTATTTTTATTTTTTTATTTTAGGGAAGGGGCTACAGGGTGTTCAGGGTCTCTCTACTAGACTGGACTCCTAGTGATCCACCTGTTTACAGCCTCCTAGAGCTGGGATTACAGGTGCGCCACACAGTCTCAATTGCCGTCTCAGTGTGCCCTGGGGCGAGGCTGGCATGGCAGGCCTGGGGATCGAACCCCCGGCCCCTGCACCTGCTTGCAGGCACTTTAATCCCCTGAGCTATTTGGCTGGCCCTAGAGTTGCTTCTTAAGTGATTTAAGCCACTTAGTTTGGTAGTAGATTGTCAAACAACTATGGATAACTGAAATGAAGTCGCCGAGTTCTTTCAAGGATTAACTGAAGCCAAGAACTTGTATCAGAGTGGATTACAAGCAAGCGTTAATCAGATGAGAGCTGGAACAAACAGCTAACATGCAACTGCACATGCTTGCATAGCTCTGTAAACTCTGAACACACATATACACACATGTGCTAAACACCATGCTCATGCCAAATGTTGAAAACACCCATTAGGGAAGAGATTAGCAGATTATGACCTAGATCCTTTATTGAAGAGTACAAAGCCCATAAAACTGTGACAAAATATGGAACCAGCTGTAAAAATAGATTTTTTGAAAATAGTTTCTGACCAGGCCTGGTGGTACACACTTATAATCCCAGAGCTCGGGAGGCTGAGGCAGGAGGGCTGTTGTGAGTTCAAGACCAGCCTGAACTGCATAGCAAGACCATGTCTCAAAGAGATGAAACAAAAGAAAAAATTAGTTTTTGATATGACTGAGCACACAAAATAAATGAATGAAAGCAAGGACAGAAACTGTGCTGTGCCAGGTGGTGGGATTTATTGATTCATTTCCTATCCCTTCTTATTGCTAAAATATTGTAAGGTAGTCAACTAGAAGGGGA